GAAATCTAATAAGAATTGATTGTACAATCTAACCATGACTGACAGATGTCACAATGCGCCACTAGATTAAAACAGGTTAACTTTAATATCATATTATGTTATAAATAAGACAGGTCGTCATGAATCATACTAAAAGTGTATCTGTTTTCATTCATATTTATTTAACTTGTCAGTTTTTATATACTTTACTTTAAATATGTAAAGCACTGAGTTATATATGCATAAGTATATTTATTATACGGCATACGCATACAATTCAATTTTCTACACCACTGGCCTGTAAACTTTAAGTTTTGATAAGTATTTTGTATAAATATCAACACCTGCGTTTATGAAGTTTATGAATGTAAAACTTGATTATACGGACTTTCGTTACTTACTTATATATGTATATCCAAAGATAGCCTCAAATAAACTTTCATCACTTATATTCATCAACATATATCCAATGATAATGGCTCCCGAAGTACATTTTGTGTCCTTCCATCGGCAGGATGTGATCCAATGCTACTGTGGCGTCATTATAACGACGCCAGCGCCTTGGTTTTTTAAGCGCGAAACAGTTGGTTTTCTATAGAACGTTTGTGCCTCATCAAGCCAAATTGGCTGCCTTCGAACGTGTCTAAGCTTTGAGTAGTCAAGTGTTTCCTTTCCTTACTGGCTTCTTCCAGGATTGTAAACAGTTCATGATGTATGGTTTCGTGTAAAAAGAATATAATACATACATATACTTTTGATCACCGAAATAAATATATATCTTTAAAAGTTCATTAAGGAATTACTGTAATATTTTTTCTGTCTATGAAGAAGTAACATAAAAAATATTACAGTCATTTCTTATAATTTAATTCTTAATTCCATTTTAAACCGGAGTAAATCATGAACAAACGTTGATGACGTTACGGTCACATGACAAAATTATGTCTATGAGCTGATAAACAAAACGACGTCAGCCAATCAGAATACGCGTTTCATCCAAAATTAAATTATTATAGGTTCACTCACAAACAAATAAAAGTCCGAAGGACTTTTATGATATGTTTGTGAGTGACTTGGTCCAGTTTATACACCAATAAATTCCTTTAAAAATGCGTTTAATCCTTATAATTCTTTAAAATCGGAGATAAGGAATTTATTTTCCACACTCGTAACCTCTATCACACGTAAATTGTATATTTGTGTCATTGAATTGGCCTAGCGCATGAATATATTTGTTGGTTAACGAAAAATATGTACTACTTGAAATTTGCAATCTGAAAAAAAAAATAACTACAAAAACTCTTATTATCATTCAAATGAATGTTTTGTGTTATTATGTAATTTAACGATTAATGCAAAATGAAAATAAATATTGTAACGTCGAGCCAGATTTGTGTTATTATCGCCGCCATCTTGTTTACATTGGTTACAAAAAGAAGTTCGGTCAACGTCGTCTATCGAAAAATAAACAACGTCAAGAACAACTACCGGAAGTCCTCTCGACCAATCATATCAGAGTTTTCTCTAATATGCAAATCATATAAGAATTATTTAAGAATAAACAGGTGACGTAATACCCGTTATACTTTTTAGAAACTTTAACGTTAGTACAATCTAATTCGTCGCTGGGCTTCAAAAATGTAGTACATATATAATTTTTCAACAACAAAAAATTCTCACAAACAAACCTCCGGGTGCGGGATTTTCTCGTTGCTTTGAAGACCCATTGGTGGGCTTCGGCTGTTATCCGCTCTTTGGTCGGGTTGTTGTCTCTTTGACATATTCCCCATTTCCATTCTCAATTTTATTTGAAAATTTGGTTGAAATCTGTGCTTCCAAAATGTCGTATGTAAACTTGAATATTTTTGTAGATGGCTTTGAAATAAAAACTTGGAATTTCTGGATAACACAAAAACTAACCTTATTATCACATAAATAAAGAAATGTAAAAGTTTTTGATTCCCAAAGCCATTATACAACAATTTTCAAGTTTACATACAACATTTTGGAAGCTAACTTTACAAACACTTGAGATTGACAATTTTGTCACATGTCTTATTTCAAATGTTTTGATTGGTCTAAATGTATGATACTTTGGAATATCAGACATTTCCTCCCGCCAAGCCGGTTTGTGTGAAAAGGTAGTTTTAGCAAAAACAGTCATATACGACATTTTGGAAGCCCAGCGACGCTATATTTTACATTGAAAGTTGTCTTGATGTCGCGTATGGAATAAGCCCTCTTTTATTTTGGCATCTTTGGATTAGATTCAGTATAGCAAGATTGAAATACACTTAGATTGAATTCGGATTTCCCCCAAAATCTATTCGGGATATCATACTAGAAGCTTTCCCTTAAATGATTAAAGAGACAGATTTTTACACCTTAGCCCATTAATACATATAAAACTGTTATCTACCCTCGGTTGTTTATTTTTTAAATATCAAAATTGAACTAAATGTATCTCAAAAAGATAAATATAATAATCAACGGGGTGTTGTGGAAGAATCTTAATTTCTTTACCTTCGTCTTTACCACAATCTTAATTTCTTTGCCTTCTTTTTTGCCACTATTTACAGTTATTAGATAACTCGTTTTCAAGAGTTATGAAGGTTTTAAGTGGTTGACTATTTTTTGTGCTATCATTATTGGCAATGTGCATCGATATTTTTGCTTCCTTACGCTTTTTTCGAATATTAATTCTAGTATAATTATGAAAACACAGATGACAAACGTCAAAATAATTGATTTCGTTAGCATCTTTTTGGCTATTATCCTTGATTTAGTTAGTGAAAATAATTCTCGTTATTAATCCGAAGATGTTTCGCAAATCATCTAAATACCGTATCACTATAAAAATGTTTTTGTCTTTCAAGTGGTCTGTAATGTCACTGTAGCACGCATAATACCTCAGATCTATAAACAATCTCTTAATTTAATTGAACCAGGATTCCAGGACAATTTTATTGCCGGTATTTCTAATTAAGTAGGAGACTATGTGTTCTTAAATCAAACATAGTCTTTCGAAGCAAAATTTAATGAAACGTTAACCACGAAACACCAACACAGAAATACGATCTGTCCTTATTGAGTTTGCAATTCTTAGTATACACATTATTCAAATTGTATCTGAACATTTCTTATGTATTATAGATACAATGAATAAGCGTTGATTCTTGAAAAAGAAACCATGAGCACGAAGGTTTAAGTGTAATCATACGTTTATATACAAAAATTCATCAAAGATACTACCCTCATAATTTTGTACACCAGACACGCGTTACGTCTACTTAAGAGCCAATCTGCCAGAAAACCATGCAAAACCGTCCGAATGTCACTTTTTCCAAATGAGTTCATATTTGGCATATTGGTGCACCTTAGTAATGTTAATAACCACACAAATTTTTTTGGGAAAATATTGAACCGATCTGGATATTTTTGAGCGCCATGTTTTAACAGATGAAATTGCTTGAAAACAGCAAAAATAAGCCTTTTTTGGCATATTTCGCTGGTTTAAATAAAAAAATATGGTAACATTTATAATTTTTTGATAGTTGTTCCTAGTAATACATCACTTTAAGTGTAAGAATGCATAGAATTAACAATGCTGTCTATTAAGTGTATGTATAATCTAACTGTTTCAATATGTCTTGTTTAGCTACATGTCCAAAATGGCTGTTTTTGGTCATCTTTCAGAGCCAAAATACTCCAAGACCCGTTTATTATTGTAAAACAACATATCTACTTGCAAAGTATAACTATATATACCCAATCAAAAAATATATCAAGCTCGGCAAATAATGTTGGTGTCTGGTATATGCCACAACAAAATGGGGTAACCTGCATATTCAAATTTTCTCAATTTTGCCGTCTAATTTGTAACTACTGACATATGATGGGATCTGGACTTATAAATAAGTATAACAACAATTGGAAAAGAATAATTAATGTTTCATTTAATACATTAAGAAAATAATCATACATAAATACAAATTATTCATTATAAATCTAGAGGCTCCCAAGAGCTGAAATAGATCATATTGACAAATTGTGCACCTAAAACGATAAAAAACACATATTTCAAACGCAATCAATTTAAATTAGAAGTTAAACAATTCAGAATAAGTTCAGACTGTAAAAAAAAAGTTTCTTCTGACCACTTTTGCAATTTATTCTTATAATATATTGATATAGTTGTCGGATAGTAGCAGAAAACTGTGAAAATTTGTAAATTTACACATTTCAGGGACAATAGCTCATAGATGTTATGTCCAATTTTTCAGAAAAATTTTGGGTATTTAGATCTTGTCATGTTGATAGTTTTTATCAATATATATATATATATATATATATTGAAAAGTTTTTAAATTTTGTATACATATATATATGTATGACACTTCTTCTAAAGTTATTAAGATGATGGTTTTAAAAGTGAAAACTGTAAACAGATGATTTTAACAGACACTTAGTGATGGAATTTTTTTATGACCCTTTGAGCCTAGTATGCTAACAAGGCAAGATTTGCCAGGTACCTATATCTATGTTGCTGCAATGTGGTCAATACAAACATGAAAATCATAAATGCTTCTAAAAAAAAATCCCATACCGGGGTAACTAGACGAAAAAAAAAATTACTTAGTCTATATATACCAGTGCAAAATTTATAAAGAATTTTGGATGAAATTGGATAGCTGTTAAGATTACTGTACCTATAATGCTCTACATCACATCCTCGGAGATAACAGAATTAAAATAAGTCATATGAATCTTCAAATTTCAATAAAGTTGAATGTGTTTTTTTATACTTGAACGGCTATAGGTTTTACTATAAAACAAGTGTACATTAACTTTCTTGTAAAAGAAAAACCATAACATTAAAATCTCCATAAATGATGAACTGTTATTTTTTGAGACATCATCCCATGGAAGATTTAACTGATGTTTTAAAGTTGGAAAGTTTCTGTTGCTTGTTTGGTTGGTTGAAATTGTTTCTGTTAGAAGCATTATCAGTCTCTCAATCTGAAGTCGACTGCTGTGAAAGTTCAGTTGTTGTTGACACTGACAGAAAGGTTAGCTGCGAGTCTATATCTGAAAACCACAAAACATACATACATAAATCAGGCTGTTAGTTTTCATATTTTTTCATTTTCTTATTTTGGGGCCTTTTATGGCTGAATATAAATGCAGTATAGGTCTTGCTCATTGTTGAAGGCCATATGGCGTATGAAGACCTATAGCTTTACTTCTATGTCATTTGTTCTCATTGGCAATCATACCACATTTTTTTTTAATTTCATATATACCACTGACAGGAAATAAAATTGACAACTTTTACTGTAAGTGGATGCAGTTACAAAATTCTCCCAACTAAAGCCAAATCATTTTTGCAGAATAGTTATTATCCACTCCTTTTAAGCATGTCCAAATAGCCCTTAACATCTTTACAACAATAATAAAATGCTCCGCTGGGCACAGCTTGATACGACCGCAGAGGTCGAACCCTGAACAGTTGGGGCAAGTATGGACACAACATTCAAGCTTGATACAGCTCTGAATTTGGATTGTGATTTAATATTTGACACAGCATAGGTTTCTGACACAGAATGAATGTGGTCTAAGAACTTTAAATTTTTTAATTTACCTATTATGGTCGCATATCCAAAATCTAAATACATGGTTAGATTCAGCATATCAAAGAATCCAAAGAATTCAATTTTTGATGAAATCAAACAAAGTTTAATTTTGGACCCTTTTGACCTCAATGTGGACCAATTTGATAACGGGGCCCAAAAATCAAAATACATGGTTAGATTCAGCATATCAAAGAACCCCTTATATTCAATTTTTGTTGAAATCAAACAAAGTTTAATTTTGGACCCCAACTTGGACCAACTTGAAAACTGGGCCCATAATCAAAAATCCAAACACATGTTTATATTCAGCATATCAAAGAACCCCAAGAATTCAATTTTTGTTAAAATCAAACTAAGTTTAATTTTGGACCCTTTGGACCTTAATGTAGACCAATTTAAAAAACTGGACCCAAAATTAAAAATCTAAATACACGGTCAGATTTGGCATAACAAATAAATAAATGTGGTCAAAGATTTAACAAATCTAATGCGCCATACTGTGCAATTAAAGACTACTTCTTGAAATTTTTCAATATTTGAAATTTGAAAAAAAAATAATATTTGAAGAATAATTCTTTTTAATTTCTGAAATCTGAAATGAGAAAAAATTGACCCCCCACAATTTCTTTTTACCCAGCCCCCCCCCCCCCCCCTTTTTCCCCAAAAAAATTCTTTCCCTCAAGATATGGTCATAATCTCAATTCAAATTTCCAATGGAATTTGCAACCATAATTACCCATTTAAATTTACCATAGTGCTAACTTAATCTATTTTATAATAGAATTTAAAATATGGTGTCAAATCTTTCATATGGATTTTTTTTGTAAAAAAAAAAAAGATGCAACATTTGCAGATATTTTTACTGGTCTTCCTTTATAAATATGCATTTCTTTAAACATAATTTAAAAGCAGTGTAAGGGAAGTAATCAAAACGTATGTGGATTACCTCCCTTACACTGTTTTAAATTGTCTTAATTGTTCATTAACCATTACTTTATACATAATTTAAAAGCAGTGTAAGGGAGGTAATTCTAATGATGTATTTGATTTATCTCCCTTACACTGCTTTAAATTATGTTTTGTACTAAAGTATTTGTCCATATAAAAATGCTTGTTTTTTGCCCCTTTTTTGGCCCCTAATTTCTAAAATTTTGAGGCAATAACCCCCAAAATCAATCCCAGCATTCCCTTTGTGATATGGAACCTTGTGGTACAATTTCAGAGAGATCCATGCACTAACACACAAGTTATGTCTGGAAGTTACAAAAATGCTTATTTTTGGCCCCTTTTTGGCCCCTAATTCCATAACTGTTGGTACCATAACCCCCAAAATCAATCCCAACCTTCCTTTTGTGGTATTGAACCTTATGGTAAAATTTCATAGAGATCCATTCACTTAAACTAAAGTTAGAGTGCGAAAAACCAATGTGTCTTCGGACGACGACGCCAACGTCATACCAATATACGATCACAAAATTTTTTTGCGTACGTAGAAAAATTGCCTCCATTTGGTTTGGCATGTCAAATTACCTCTCAATATAATTTTACATTGAAAACAGACAATGGTGATAATTTGACCGCTTTTAGTGGCAATCTTTGAAATGGTGGCCATCTTTATATCTGTTCTCTGTGTCAAAGTACAGCTAAATATCAATATTCTTTAAAATCAAACTCAACAAAATTGAAAATTTTACCCTTTATTTGCTGTGTCCATCTTTAAAAAAAAATTTCATTGTTTTGTTGGCATGTCAAAAGTGCTATAGTTCCTTAATGTCAATTTTCATATAAGGCCATATCTTGAAAATGTTTGCCATTTTGGAAGAAAAAACAACCTTACTTTGTTTAGCAAGTCAAACTACCACGACTATCCCTAATTAACAATTTTCATTAAATTGACCAGTGTTGAAGAAATTTGTGCCATCCTTGGTGGCCATCTTGAAAATGTTTGACATCAGATAATCATCCACATATTGTGCTTTTCTTTTCACTAAAGTTTCATTTAAAAAGATAACACCAGTTATCTCAGAAAAGGACAAATTTTGTGGAAGATGAAGAAAAAATGCAAGTTTGGACAGAACATTCAAGCTATAACCATGATAACAGCTCTAAATTTGTAATGGGATTAAATATTTGACAAAGAATAGGTTTCTAACACAGAATAAATATGGTATAAAGATAAAGTTTAATAGATTCAGCATATCAGAGAACCCCAAGATCAAATTAAGATTAAAATTTAGTTTAATTTTGGACCCTTTGGACCTCAATGTAAACCAATTTCATAATAGGGCCCAAAAACTAAATACAGGTTAGATTCAGGCTGAATCAGCATCTTTAAAATTATTGTTGAAATCAAACACAGTTAAATTATGGACCCCATTTGAACCAACTTGAAAACTGGGACCAAAATCATAAATCTAAGTACATATTTATATTCAGGATATTTGATTATTTCTATTTATCATTCAAAGAACCCTTATTCATTGTAATTAGAGTTCAAGTTTTGTTAAAATTTGGACCCTTTGGACTTTAAAATGTGGACAAATTTGAAAACCGGACCAAAATTAAAAATCTAAATATAAAACATTTGCATTTTGTATACCAAAAGAACCTCAAGAATTCAAGTTGTGTAGAAATAAGAAAAAAAATTTTGGACCATTTTGAAATCAATGAGGACCAATTTACAATGGGCCCAATTGCAACATCTTAAATTATTTAAATACATTGTTAGATTTAGCATATTAAGAACCCAAATAATGTATTTATTTTAATTTGTCCTTGTCCTAAACATGCATGAACTATTTGCCATTGGACATTAGCATTACCAACAACCAATCAATTAATCGAACAGGTGAAATATCTTCAAAAGTACCAATAAAAATCTCCGCCTTTTATATTTGAAAAAGTAAAATCACAAAAATACTGAACTCCGAGGAAAATTCAAATAGGAAAGTCCCCAATCGAATGGCAAAATCAAAAGTTCATGCAAACACATCAAATGAATGGATAACAACTGTCATATTCCTGACTTGGTACAGGCATTTTCTTATGTAGAAAATGGTGGATTGAACCTGGTTTTATAGCTAGATAATAAACCTCTCACTTGTATGACAGTCGCATCAAATTCCATTATATTGACAACGATGCGTGAACAAAACAAACAGACACAATAGGTAAAATTGTCAAAAATAGGGGTACAGCAGTCAACATTGTGTTATCATCTTAATCACTATAAAAACAAACAAATGTAACGAAGAAGCACAAAAAGGCATACATCAAATTTAACATCCTCATTTTGCTTATATTATACGATTTTATATATCTATGTAAAATCCACCCATAAAGGATGGAAGGTTTTAAGTACATTGTACTGGCGTAAAATCGCGCGTTTGAAATTCGCACAGGTAGACATAAAATAATTTTGTCATTCAAAGTATGACGGGATACATAAATACAGAGTCACGTAAAATGGATATCACAAAAAACAGACTTAACAGTAAAAGTAATACGTATTAATAAATAAAATAATTGAAATGGAATGTATGAACAGTTCATTAGTCATTGTTAGTTATTGAATGGAAACTATAGGAGCCGCCCAATATAGTACTACAAATTAAAATTAGCAAAGTGATTTTTCAATGGGAAAACCAAGTTAACAAAGACCTGTTTAATAAAACTGATGTACAAATGTATAACATGTAATTGTATAATTATGTTATTATATAAGTGATTACATATACTTTGTATGATTACCATGTTATACAAACAGTTAAATTAATATATAAGTTAATAATAACTTACCAATATCTTCTTCTATACATGTATTTAGTTTGACCTGGCTATTGTCACTTTTACAAAAATTCATCTTAATTGAGCATTGCTTGCATATATATAGCCCTACAAATAAAAAGTGTTAAACTATAAAATAATTCTTCAATTTTGTTTGACATGAAATAAAATATATCAGACAGGAAATGTAGGGTAGTGTAGCATCACTGTGCATGTAGTTTAAATGTATGTTTTTTCTTTTAAAAAGGGCTCTATAAGTAATCTACATACATGTACATGTAGGGTCCTAAAATTGAACTTTACAAAAGTTTGCAATGCTTTTGATTTTTTTAGTCTCCATGGCCTATTACTTCATTAAAAAAATATTATTCTCTGGATAAAGTTGTCTAGTGTTACATGTACAGTTTGTTGTATGTAAAACATGTATTTGTAGGAGGCTTTTCCACGAGATAAAAGTTTTTTTAGTAGACAAAGAGCTGAACAACTTCCAGTAAGAACTGAAAATATAAATTAGGGGAAGAGAATAAAAACCTGACCTGCTAAACGTTGAATATGTTGAAACAGATTTTGATTATTATCATGATTCTGGTCTATAAATTGATTTTTTAAAGCAGAAAATAAATATATATTGTACCCTGGTTAATAGCTTGAAAATTAAAATTCTGTCCTAAGCTGACAAGGACATAAATATTTTGACCATTCTAACCCTCCCCCTTGCTTTTTTAATCAAATGGTCCCAAGACAGAACAATGTATATACGGATATATATTATTTGCTAGCACTTTGCTGTAGGAAATAAATAAGATGTCTTAGAAACAGGTCAGGTGTAAAAGAATATTCACATGCCCCTTCAACACCCACCCCCCTTTTTTTAATCTAGCTAATGTATCAATTGTTGGTCCCCTAATTTCAGATTGACTATATGGAACAAGTGAAAATTGATTGTAAGATTTGTACCTGTTCCTACTGGAATAACTCGTCCTGTATACAGCCTTTTTTGAAAGGGTGAAGATCCTTGGTCAGCTTTGGCTTTGCTGGAAGAGGGTTGGACGAGATATTGACATCTTGCCTGACTATCATGTCAATGAATTCAATAAAAGTCTCTGTACTTCGAGCATATTCAAAGACAAGATGATGTAACAACCATGGGAAAATAAACCACTCCTTACCTTATATAAAACCAGGAGTCCTGTTTGAAATTCTACACTATAGTTTTCAGTATTATTCAGACTTCCTAAATGTAGATGAATGGTAGTCTGTATCTGTATGAATATGTTTGGTTACCAATGCTGGTTTCAATTCCACGGTAGAGAGTGTCGTTGATTTATTGATGGTGCGCCAGAGCAGTTTTGACACTCTCAATCTCAATTTTGGTGCGAGCAAGGTGGTTCCACTCGCTCACTTTTTTTTTTACGAAGAATGATTTAGAATACTTTTTTTTTGCTCGTTGAAATCTAAAAACACTTTCTGCTGTTCATGGACTTATTTTTCCAATCAATATTTATCATGTTTATTCACTAAATTATTGTCATGATTGTCAAATTTCTTGGCAGTAATTATTTTTTTTGGAAATGCTATTTTGGTCTTTAGTGCATTCAGATATCTTAAATAGTTTGTAATATGTAGATGTATAAGGCTGGGATAGCCCACATGCTCATCCTAGATTATTAAAGTCACAAACTTCACTGTAAACATTTGTCTGCCAAACTGACATGTTTGAGATCTTACCCAAGGGAGATAAGTCAATGGAAGAGCATAAAAGATGGACTCCCTGGTTTCAGACAATTTATTGATTTTTGGACTTGCAGTACAAATACGTCTTATTTCATTTTTCAGACAAATTGATTTTACTTGTTCGAATGATTTTATGAGCCATTTTAGTACCAATTGTGTTTAGAATTTAATTAAAATCAAAATCAAAATGTGTCAATTTGGGACTAAAATCACCATTCTTCCAAGGCATAAATTAACATATAATAGTCATTTGCCAAGCTTAATATTTTGTTTTGATATAAAACATACCCCATAGTTAAACCGATATATGTTGCAAACAAATCCGGAATGGGTCTTGCAAGATAGAAGCGAATGAAAACCATGTAAAGTCATGTATGAAAAACCCCGCCTTTGTGTCCCTGCTCCTGGCAATGTGCCAAATCGTTTAAATTTTCATTTGTATTGATCATAACATAGTAAAATGGATGAGTTTCAGCGGACATTACTCTAAAAACTCAACTACCCCATTTAATATGCTTCTGAGTCATTCTTAAAAGGCATAAAAAAGTTGGATTTTTCCTTGGTTTCATTATGAATTTACAGAATTATGCAAATGAGGCTGTTACTAAAAATAGATATGATTCTGGGAAAAATTAAGTGGTCAAATTCTTTTATTTTATGTCAAGGATTAAGATGATGTATAAAAATTTGTCAAGTTGTGATTGTCGATTTGGACGATTTTCTGAATATTGCATGGTTTTCTGGTGGATTGGCTCTTAATGGCATACGTTACAGTTAGAGGGGAGATAATGACGTTACTAACGTAATATGTTATTTTTCGCGACGTCAAACTGCGACATATCGGGAAAATATCTATTTTTCGATGGATTTTAATCATTGGCTTGAAAACGAGTGCATGGACCCCCTTTTTTTTAAATTACAAATGACCTGGTACTGTATGAAGATTATTTGTTCCAATTTTTATGAAAAAATCACCGATAAGTTTTTTTTAAATTGAATAAACATGCAGCAAAAAATGCCGTTTTTTTTTTAACTAAAATCATGAAATTTTAATAAATATGAATTATGTTCAAAGAATTGTTACACAAATTGTTTCCACGCGTTTACGTTAACGTGGTCAAACTATAAATTTCTAGCTGGACTTTAAATGAACTGCGTCTGAAAAAAAATCCTGCTGGTATTTCTGGCAAAAACTTGGATTTTAAATGCATACTTTTGTAAAGAAGATATTCCAAATCGTTTAACAAAAATCCGCATTTGTTTATCTTTTAAAACAAAATAGTTAAGTATGTCTGTCCAAATGATAGAAATGTCCAAGAAACCGAAATTGTATGTAAATGTCTAAGATTTCGACCCCATTTATCTCTAAATTAAGCACATGAAAGTATATTTTTTATTACATATTTGAATACACTAAGTGAAAAATAGCTTGTATGCAAATATTCGTAAAAAAGTCACCGTGGGATCAAAACTGTATCGTCTGCCCTTAAGACTCACCAGTGAAGCTCGAATAACAAAAGTTAACTGGCAAAATAAAGTACGGAGTTGAAAGTAAAATCACAAAAATACTGAACTCCGAGAAAAATTCAAAAAGGAAAGTCCCAAATCAAATGGCAAAATAAAAAAACAAACACATCAAACGAATGGATAACAACTGTCATATTCCTGACTTGGTACAGGCATTTTCTTATGTAGAAAATGGTGGATTAAACCTGGTTTTATAGCTAGCTAAACCTCTGACTTGTATGACAGTCGCATCGAATTCCATTATATTGACAACGATGCGTGAACAAAACAAACGGACACAATAGGTAAAAATGTCAAAAATAGGGGTACAGCAGTCAACATTGTGTTATCATCTTAATCACTATAAAAACAAACAAATGTAACGAAGAAGCACAAAAAGGCATACATCAAATTTAACATCCTCATTTTGCTTATATTATACGATTTTATTTATCTATGTAAAATCCACCCATAAAGGATGGAAGGTTTCAAGTACTGGCGTAAAATCGCGCGTTTGAAATTCGCACAGGTAGACATGAAAGATGTTGAAGAGCACTGAGGAAACAATTCCGCAAGAATTTGCACAACAGCTATGACAATCTATTCCTTGGATGGAAAATCCTTAGTTTTTAAAGTTTTGTAAACAGTTAAATTTATAAATATGACAATAATAATAATGATTAATATCATACCGTCGAATGTATATATTGATCGCCCTGTTTGTCCGTTCGATCGCCCGTCCGTTCGTTTGTCCGTCAATACAAACTTTACATCCGAAACTCAGCCTTAACAAGCTATATGATAATGAAACTTTTAGGAAACTTTTAGTATTTAATACGATAATGTACATTTACATTTTTTTTTGTTTATTCAACAAATATTTTTGGTTTCCAATAGCAAATACTTATGGTCATATTTTCCAAATGGGGATGTATTTGTAAGCTCTGCTCACTTACTCTCTGCTCACATATGTACGGAAGCGTATAAGGAACATAGTAAAAATAAAATTGACATTCCGGAAGTCGAAAGTTTGACCTTTATAAACTCCAAATTTTGCCTTTGTAAAAGTCAAAATTTCGACTGTAAACTCAAATTTTCAAATCTTTAAATCTCGAAATTTCGAATTAAAACTAAAAATTTTGACTTTTAAAATCTCAACATTTCTTTTAAAGTTGAAATTTCTAACACAGTTATTTAAATGTTAGAAGTAGGAGACCTGGACGCAAATGACTAAAGCGTCATTCCAACATTTTGGCAGTTTATATTCAGAATTGTTTTTGTTCTTAAATTATGATATGGATTAGCATTAAGTATTGCAGAGTTTTACTTCGGAAAGAACATGCATGTTGACAAAAAAAATTATTGTGTCCCAATATTCCATGTTTTAGTGTCCACGATACTGTCGTAGGATCGTCAGATCTGAGAACATTTTGTATCCCATTTTTATGGTTGGTTTTAAAGGCCTGATTGGTTTCCCAAAAGAAAGTCACTGACTTTGCCTTGTTTAGACAATGGTAAATCAATTCACAAACATGACATACATATTCGGGACGACTCATGGCCTGCACAGTTTTTATATGTGTGGAATGTTGAAATAATGATTCTTTTTCTGGAACATTGATTAAACACATAAAGTTGGCATTCTAATGATACAACTTTTAACCCTTGTCTTTATATATTAGTCTGTTGAATAAAAGTACTGTGTAATATAGGTGTGTTGGAATAACGGGTATGCCTTGGTCCGCATATCTGAAGTTCAGACTGAAAGTAGATATTTGTACGTGAAACATATTTAATTTCTTCTTCTGTAAAGTTGATTTTCTATCTAAAGTAATCTCTTGAAATCAAGTTATGAAAAGTTGTAAAGAATTAGATTAAAATGGTCTTATTTATTGAAAAATGCTCATGATGTATATGTGTCGCCGATTGCTGCTATAAGTGACTGAATGTGAGAATCGCGAACGTTTAAATACTAGGAAAAGTCAAAATTTTAAGTTTTCAAAAGTCGAAATTTTAAGTTTTCAAAAGTCGAAATTTCACGATTTTAAAAGTCGAAATTTTGAGTTAAAGTCGAAATTTTAAGTCAAAAACCTTTGTTAAGGTAAAATTTCACGCAGGCGACTTGTTGTTGATCCAAACTACCACCATTTCGCCTACTTTTCCGATGTTATCACGTGTCTGGTGTGTGAAAAATGAGATCGGAACCGGAACACAAATTGCGTCTTTAACGTCATTGCTTTGCATCACGGTGAGAAGCTATTAGTGCAAAAAATGTTCACGCCATCGTGAAATTATTAACAAATATAGGTTCTGATTGGTTGTCTTATGATATGGCTAAGGTTCTATTGGCTAGAATGAAATATAGAATAGTGAATATATCCCGGACAGCAGAAGACATCGAATACGGACGAGAAGGAATGAAGTTACAGTAAGGGTATCAAAATCCAAATCAATAATCATTGCTCATTGTTGACGTAATTTATTAATTATAATGCGAAGACCTCCGTACCTTTTTAGAATGGTTTAACTTGTTTTAAATTGCTTAATCTGTTTTGCGATTCTTTTTTTTCCTCCTCAATTAAGTGTAGCAATTTACTTCTGATGAACCGTATATCCGAAAGCATCGATGTGTCAGTTGTGATCAGTTTTTAGTAAATAATATTAAGATCTTGGCACTGTCTTCTAATTAGGACGACTTTAACCTCTTTTTTCCAAAATTCATAAGTCATGAACGCATATTGAATCATACGTTTTAATGTTACAATTGACATTCTCTTTGAAATCCAAAACTGTAAATTAAGAACTTTTTCCATCTGCGAAAGAGCAAACACATGCTTTTATTGTCTAAAACGGCTGTGAAGTATGAGTTATTATGTATTAATTGCCCATTTTATGTACCCACTTGCAAATGTTAATTGTTTGTAATTTTTTCATACTTGTAATTTACATCGGGCTGTCCATTTTTTATTCTTAAAATAGAATGGTTGTCTGGTGAACACGGTGTATAGGTACACAAAAAAGCAATGAATCATGGGAATATTTCTTTTTTACTCAGCAGTTTTAAAATTCCATGTTGTAGACTTGCAGGTTTTGCATTGTTGATACATGCATGTTTTAAGCACATCTTTCAAACATTTCACGCTAATATTGCTAAATGTAAACATTATAATGCTAAAAATCCAAACTTGATAATATTATTGTAGCGTTATGTAACAAAATTAACGGTACCAATTCGACAATAGATGTCTATTCAGTTTTGCTCGAGTATGTATTATCATTTTAGCAGTTAGGATAATTAAAAAAAAAGCAGTTAAGAAGAAAGGTTCGTTCAAAAATACAAAAAAGCGGGACCCACCATGCATTAATGTTTAATGCTGCATTTCTTTCGCCTCTATTGTGGTAATTTGTAATTTCAAAAGATGACACTTATTAGATGATATAGCTCATATTGTTTTGCCACTATTTTATCACAAGTTTAAGTAAAAATAGTGTCATCTTTGGATTCCTCATGTAACTTGAACATGTTTTCAAAGTCTTTGATTTAACAGGGTTTACATAGCATGTTTTGACATGCGTTTTAAACTTGCCGTGTAAATGACCCTTTGCAGTATCAATAGATATAATGAAATAAAATTGAGAATGGAAATGGGGAATGTGTCAAAGAGACAACAACCCGACCATAGAACAGACAACAGCAGAAGGTCACCAACAGGTCTTCAATGCAGCGAGAAATTCCCGCACCCGGAGGCGTCCTTCAGCTGGCCTTTTTTAGTTCGTCGCAATCCCAGCATTCTTCCCTGGATCATAGTATATTGTTGAATGCGACTTAACACCGAATGTGTACTTTTCATGAGCAAAAAGATGATTGCCACGTAAGTAGCAGGATCTTCTTACATATGCCTTTCAGAGGAATCTGTGGTTTTTTATGAGGTTCGTGTTCCTCGATCTTTAGATTTTTATGTAGTGTTTTGCAGTTTCATTGGATTATGGTTTTTGATTGTCGCCTTGGTAACTTTTGCCTCTTTTTTTAGAAATTCAACGCTATTTGTTATGCCCCCGCCGTCGAGGATGGGCATTAAGTTTTAACCTTGTCCGTCCGTACGTTCGTCCGTACGTCCGTACGTCCCGAAATTGGTTTCCGTTCTCTAACTTTAGTTTGCCTCAACCAAATGTTATGAACCTTATACACTGCTTATTTCCACAAAACACAGATCAAGTTTGAATTTGGGTGGCGTCACTTTTACCTTTCTAGAGAAATGCCTCTTTACAAAATGGAAAAAATGCTGAATTTTTTGTTTTCGTTCTGAATCTTATAAACACAAATGGCGTTTGCATTTTGGTGGCGTTATTTTTACCATTCTTGAGTTATGTCCCTTCATAACTTTATATGCAAGCTAGGGCATCATCTGTGTCACATGGACACATTCCCCATTTATTTCCTAGTATGATAATATTTAATGTACATTTCCGTGCAAACTATCATGTAGAAAGTAAATAAAACAGAAAAATCATGTCACAGCAAAAAAATCATAATTCAAACTAAAGTATCAATTTTGACACGACAACAAAAAGCGTACAAAACCGTGGTAAAACTGCTAATCTGAGCACAACAACCTGACACAGAAAAATGTGCAGTTCTGTGTCTATGTTACCTATGTGTCACAATCTTGATGTATATATGTGTCAAGTAACACCTCCACCTTTGTTATATTAGGTAATACCTCGAGGTGATCAAAGGTGTTTGAAGTATTTAATTACAGGTGACGATATTGAGTGGATTGTCGTTACATGAATGATTGAAGTCCAATCCTTTACACATGTTTTTACACATTATGTTGGGGAATTGTAATTTAAATTTAATTATTAATTTAACCTTTATAATACCTGTTTTTATATTACCAATCTTGATCGATAGATCGAAGCTCCAGCCTATAACACAATTAAAAATCCTCAGTAGTTTAATAACTATCAGGCGTTGTACCAACGGTATTGTTGAGAAATTATATAAAAATTAATTGTGGTATAATGAGACGATAATCCACGAATGACTAAGCTAGGATGTGTATATTTTTTGATTTGTTACTCTTCTTGGAGAATTTCATTCTAAATGTAAAAACTAATTAAATATTTCTATAAATATTTAATTGTTTAGAAGATTCGGGCTTTCTTGGTAGCCTTGGTTATTATAGATTCACGCATTATCAAACCCTCAGCATGTATCTAGTGCTTTGTTTGTTCCGCCACATATCCGTTTTTTAATACAAAGCAAACTTTGATAATTAAAATATTTCTTGCAGTGCATTCTGTTTATCACGTGACAAACATAAGGTACCTATTTTACCTAATGTTATTTATATATACACAGGTTGAGTGTAATAGGAGGTATCTTGTCATTACAAAAGTAAAACATGCATTTGAATTGTCAAAATAGACGTTTTAATTGACTTTTAACATTTTAATGTCACAAAACCTTGTACATTTAAGGAATAAATAAGACAACTGACTTCCCTTGGAGTTGTATTGCAATGATAAATGCAGCTGTTTTCATTATGATGATTTTTTTTCCTTCTTGAAAATGTGTTATTAAAAATTGTTTTGAATATATTTGTTTCAAGATGATACTTAATTTTTATATCACATTTCTGAATCCTTTTTACAAGAAAAAAAAAAACAACGTGTCATATGAAGATGAAAAAAGGGAAATTCATAACATATTCTTAAAAGATAATAGATTCTGTCAAATTTTCAAAACGTGGTTTAGTCATTGATTACATAAATGATTTGCAGTTGGATTTATCATGCACATTACACAACATACAGGCTATACTCTATCGTCTTATTTCAATACGTCTTGGGTAATGTAGCTGAACAATCTGAAACAAGAAATCTTTTATTTGTACCTGTGATTTTATATTATAACAATGCTAACTTGTTTCTCTATAAACGAGGACATTACTAAAAGTGCAACAGTTTAAAGGTTGAATATATTACAAAATTGTGATGTAATTTTTATATGTTTCACAATAATCATTTAATAAAAGTGTCATTTTTACAGTTTTGTATTATGTGACACTGTAGGGAATTTATTGATAGACAACTTGATATATCTTCCGAAGAAAAAGGTTGATATCTTTAAACCAAAAAATAGTACCACCCTGCCACATGTTCAGTGAGGGGATTAGGACTTACGTACCGGTCTTTCATCGTCTTTGTTAATTAAATCATAACTTTTCTAGACTTTTTCTATACATTATCGAAGCTTGCCATAATGTTAAGGCACTAGTCTATTGTTTTAGGTCGTAGGTCAATGCGTCTTTTTGTTTTTCCTGTGTCGTTGGGTTATTGTATGAATGACATATTCTCAACACATCTTTTTATTAATTACACTAGTACTTAAAAAGTATGACAGTGCTAAGGTAATTTATTACTCCCAGACCAAGACCGATCTATTGGTAGAAAATCTAGTCTCGCCAACCAAACTCTTTCTATGGAGTTACGCTACACCAATTACATTACAGAACGGTTAAATGCTGCCTATGAAATATTTTCATTTATATTTTCTAGCGTTTCTGTAATAGTACGCAAACGCTTTTTCTGGGGCGGCACCTCACCAATTACACCAGATTAATGCATAAAATTGAGAATGGAAATGGGGAATGTGTCAAAGAGACAACAACCCGACCATAGAACAGACAACAGCAGAAGGTCACCAACATGCAGGTCTTCAATGCAGCGAGAAATTCCCGCACCCGGAGGCGTCCTTCAGCTGGCCCCTAAACAAATATATATACTAGTTCAGTGATAATGAACGCCATACTAAACTCCAAATTGTACACAAGAAACTAAAATTAAAAATAATACAAGACTAACAAAGGCTAGAGGCTCCTGACTTGGGACAGGCGCAAAAATGCGGCGGGGTTAAACATGTTTATACATTGAAGACCTGTTGGTGACCTTCTGCTGTTGTCTGTTCTATGGTCGGGTTGTTGTCTCTTTGACACATTCCCCATTTCCATTCTCAATTTTATTATGAGATCTCAACCCTCCCCCTATACCTCTAGCCAATGTAGAAAAGTAAACGCATAACAATACGCACATTAAAATTCAGTTCAAGAGAAGTCCGAGTCTGATGTCAGAAGATGTAACCAAAGAAAATAAACAAAATGACAATAATACATAAATAACAACAGACTACTAGCAGTTAACTGACATGCCAGCTCCAGACTTCAATTAAACTGAATGCAGCATATTTAATATATTCGTTTTTAACCTTTTTTTCTATTGCTTCTTTCATAGAACTACGTCGATATTTTTTCTGAATATTGGGTTATCAACAATACATTTAATTTCACAATGTTCAGTTCCGGTATTCGAACGGAGACGTCTGTCACTAATGATAGTAATAATATTAACTTGTTTATATTTTCAGGACAATGTGATCCAAACTCATGCTACAATGGTGGTACGTGTTATGGTGGTTATGATCAAAGGTGTAGATGTACACCAAACTTTGAAGGCACAAGATGTCAACATGGTAAGTGTTATATGAATCACGTGGTAGAAAGGTTAACACTGTCAACATTGTTGGTATTAACTCGACCACGTGACGACTAGAATTGTTTTCACTGTCAACATGGTAGGTGTTCACTGAACCGCCTGACGGCAACAACACTTCACGCTGTCAACATGGTAGGTATTCACTTAGCCAAGTGGTAGAGGAACACGTTTACACTGTTAACATTGTAGGTACTCAATGAATCACACGGTAGAGAGAAAGGTTTACTCTGTTAACATAGTAGGTATTCACTGAACCACGAGGAAGGGAGAAACACTTTCGCTGATAATGTGGCAGGTATTCACTGAATAACGCGGCAGAGAGGAGGGTGCACGCTGTTATAATGGCAGGTATTCAATGAATCTCGCGGTAGAGAGAAAGGCTTACGCTGTCCACACGGTAGATGTTCACGGAACCACGTAGAAGAGTTATAGGATTATGCTGTCAACGTGGTGAGTTTTCACTGAAACACGTCAAAACAACGGTTCACGTTATCAATATGGTAGGTATTTTATAATGAACCATGTAAAAAATCACAGTGGCTTGCGTTAATCATGGTAGGTATTTACTGAACCAATTTGTTCTTAAGAGAGAAAGGATAACGTTATATACATGGACGATATTCACAACAACGTTGAAGAGAGAAAATTTTCACTGTCAGTGTGGTAAGTAACAACTGAGCTACCTGATTGTAAAAAAGGTCACGGTGTGATCGCTGCAGATATTCATTGAAAACATTTGAAAGAAATAAATGTCAAAGCTTTCATCAAAGTCATCCAATTGCACAGTAGCTGTAAAGAAGGTTATAGCCTTTTTTTACTGATTTTTGTACGACCGCAAAAAAAATTTTGGGTCGTATATGCTATCATGTCGTCGTCTGCGTCGTCTGCGTCGTCGTCGTCCGAAGACATTTGGTTTCCGGACAATAACTTAAGTTTAAGTGTATGGATCTCTTTGAAATTTAACCAAAAGGTTCAATACCACAAAAGGAAAGGATTGTTTTTGGGGGTGATGGTCCCAACCGTTTAGGAATAAAGGGCAAAAAAGGGGCCCAAAACAAGCATTTTTCTAGTTTTAGAACAGTAACTTGTGTATATTATATTTTGATTGCTCTGATATTGTACCACAAGGTCTAATACCACAAATAAAAGGTTGGGATTCATTTTGGGGGTAATTGCACAAACCGTTCAGGAATTAGGGGCCAAAAAGGGTCTAAAACAAGCATGTTTCTAGTTTTCAGACAATCACTCGTGTTTAAGTGTATTGATGTCTCTTAAACTGTACTACATTTTACAAAAAGAAAATTGTCTTCAAATGTTATTTTTTGGGGGAAAAGGGGAGGGGAGGTTAAAAAAAATTTGGGGGGGGGGTAAAATAATTATTTTTGGAGGGGGACAATTTTTTATCCTCGAGACTTAAGAAAATACAAAGAAAATTTCTTCAAATATTTCTTTTTGGAAAAGGGATTGGGGGGGGGGGGGGGGGGGGGGGGGGGGGGGTAAAAAAATTTTTTATGGGGGTCAATTTTTTTCTTTAAGATTTAAGAAACTATCAATTTTCCAAAGAAAAATTGGGGGTCACAATTGATTTAATTCTTTGTGTACAGTCTGAAAACAGATTTACTAAGTATTGCGCAACAGCACAGTGTATTGCACAAAAGCAAGAAATCTTCAATTGAATATAATTCAAATCATATAACCAATTTTAAGTACTTTGAGTACATTTATTCTGTGTCAGAAACCTATAATGTGTCAAATATTTAATTACAATCCAAATTCAGACCTGAATCAAGCTTGAATATTGTGTCCATTTTTGCCCTTACTGTTCAGGGTTGGACCTCTGCGGTCGTATCCAGCTGCGCTCAGCGAAGCAGTTTATTATAGTTTGTTCTTATGTTGTGCTGTTACACCACTGTCCCAGGTTAGGGGAGGGTTGAGCGCTCACAAACATCGTACTTTGACCTATAATGGTTTACTTTTACAAATTGTGACTTGGATGGAGAGTTGTCTAATTAGAACTCATACCACATCTTCTTATATCTATTAACCCCGCCACTTTCTTTATGTGCCTGTCCCAAGTCAAGAGCTTGTAGTTCAGTGGTTGTCATTGGTTCATGTCTGCCATATTTGTTTTTCGTAAATTGTTTTGTAATAAATTAGGCCGTTAGTTTTCTCAACCAAACCGTTTTATATTTTTCATGTCGGGGCTTTTTATAGCCGACTACTGTAAACCAACTTATTTTCGCGGATATTCTATTTCGCGTTTAGCCTTTTCTAGTCCATTTCGCTACGATTTAATTTCCCGATTTTCAAATTTACTTGATTTAGTTAAATAAGGAAAGATCCAAGTTTTACATATTCGCTATTATTTATAATTTCTACTCGCAAAAGTCGCGAAAATAAATCGCTCGCGAAAAATAGTTGGTTTACAGTATACGGTATGGATTTATACGGATTTATGGGTACATTGTTGAGGGTCGTACGGTAGCCTACAATTGCTCACATCCACTTCATTTGAATTTAGTGAATAGTTGTCTCATTCGCAATCATACCACATCTCCTTATGTTTATAATGACCCTGATCACATTATTTTATTAAGTTGGCATGGTAAGTAAAATATTCACAAGGTAAAAATATATCAAATTAGTCATAAAGAGTCATAAAATCATACACATATGAAATAAATTTATAGAAATGACCCATTTAACTACTTGTAATACTGGCAATTAATGATCATTTCGTTGAACGTTGCAAAACATCAGAAGCATCTAAAAAAATAATGTTGCAAAAAATCTTTATTCAATAACACTAATAGTCATTTATCGTATGTTTCATTTGATATATTTGCTCTTTATAATTAGTATTATGTATACACAACGTATAAAAGAAATTCTTTCTAAACCTCCCTTTGTATTTATAAATATGCATCTATCATTTTGAGCTGTCTGATGAAGACACCATCTTTTTTACTTTTGTGTTGTGTGTTGGCTAATTTCACTTTTCGCTTTTGACTTCCTTTAAATAAGATTATAAGTAGAACTCTGTTATCATGACACTTATCAAAACCAGGAAATTCATCAGCAATTGCTCTTGACGAGATATTATTTACCGCCTCTGTTGAATGCATTCGCAAATCTTCTAAACTATTGACACTTCATATTTTGTCGTGTATTGTATGTTGAAATGTCCATGTTGATTTCCTTTTGATGACCTGTATATATGTCTAAATTTGACTTATTATTTTTGTTGCTTTCTCATCGTTTTTTATCCCATAAGTTCTTTCGTCATAGATTTATCGTCATAACGATTCATTTCGATTTATGGGTTGTAAAAAAAACCTACATAAATTGTATGCATGGACTGATGATAGGCAAATAAAATTTGGCTCCATGTAAAAAAATACGCCAGAATCTTGTTGGAACTTTACAGTTCACACATAAAGTTGTCTCACTGTAAACTATAGTAAAAACGGAAGACTTTTGGTATATAATAAATTCAAGTGTTTATTAGCCCTATCTTTTTGTCTTATAAATACATTTACTGTATTCACTTGATCATTTCATTTTGGAATCCATCATGTGAGATCGATTGTCTATCTTGACCATTATTGTTTGGGTACGTTTTTTTTCTATAGATACCACCATATATATGATTATATATGATGATATATCATCCTTACAAAAACACCTTTTTGTCTCGTTAAGGCTTCAATAAAATGATAAATTTGACATTAAATGAGATAAAATCACATAATACTGTCACACAAAGTATTTTATTTAATCAAAATTAGGAAAATCTGACATTTTTCATATCGAATACTTTAACGTCACTGAACTCAACAATTAATTTATGACCCACACACTTCTATTTCATTAATCACCAATAAATGTTATTGTAAACATGTCAGATCGTCTTTCTGTAATTAGAGAACCTATTTAACAATTTTTCCACCTCGACACGAGATCAGGGTTTTGACAAGTTAAGGGTTCTAAGGTAACATTCGTTCTATTGTGAAGAACACATGTTGGATCGTGGATATACTTCTAAAACAAGCCTCATATGACGAAAGTATACTGTATAAAAATAGGAAGATGTGGTGTGATTGCCAATGAGACAGCTCTCAACTAGAGACCAAATGACAGTAGAAGTTACCAAATATAGGTCATTGTGCCGCTTTCAACAATGAGCAAAACCCATACCGCACAGCAAGCTACGAAATGACAAATATAAAATAAATCAAACGAGAAAACTATTTAACGGTCTGCGTCATGTACAAAACAATATCTGAGAAAAAGATTTAAACAAACAAACGACAACCACTGAATTACAGGCTCCTGACGTGGGACATGCACATACAGAATGTGGCGAGATTAAACATGTTTGCGGGCGCCCAACCCTCCACTTACCTGGGACAGTGGTGTAACAGCATAACATAAGAACAACATATCACAATCAGTTGAAGAGGGTTTAACTCAAATGAACGACACAAAGCACAAAAACAAAACAAAAAGACAACAAGTACAGATCTGAGAGTAGTACTACTATCAATTACTGAAAGCTAGTTCAAAGACAAAAACAACTAATAAAAATCTCATGTAAATAAGTCTTAAATATCAATCCGTACAGATGCGGGATTTTCTCGCTGTGTTGAGGACTGGGCTGTTTTCTGCTCTTTGGTCGGGTTGTTGTCTCTTTGACGCATTCCCCGTTTCCATTCTCAATTTTATATCCAACATTCAACGGATTTAGTGAAAGACGTCTTTAACAGTCAGTACTGGCACTGTCCTGTAACCTTAAAACACTAACATAGTTGTCAGAAAATTTGCCGATTGTGTCATATTCCATATCGTATGGATTTCCATGACATGTGCACGTGAGGCATGCACTGCAGGTTATGGATTTCCATGACGTGTGCACGTGAGGCATGCATTGCAGGATAGGGTCATAAAATTATACGTACTACTGTGAGTACAAAATTT